GAATAATGAAGGAGGACTTCATCACCAGTTTAAATGAACTCTAACCATTCTGCTAACAAGAGCGGTCAAATATTCAGCCAGAATTACGCCAGAAGCTTGTTGATGGTTTCCCAAAGCATCTGGTCGAGGTGCAACTTGCTACGGGACATTTAAGCTCATGTTAGTTTGGCTGTTTGTACATATTTGAGTCTGAAAAAAGTTCAATGAAATCATTACAAGCATAAAATTACAACAATGTTCATGCCCATGATGACTGGATGTGATCCTCTGACCACAGCGGCACATATGTTTTTATTGTGTTAGAAAATAAAAGCATGACATGATTTCTGAAGACCATGAAACCATGAACTGAAGCTCTATCAAGAGCTCACTATCCTGCAGCACCGGCTTCTAGAACCGTCCTTATAAAACAAAAACAGCATCGACTTTTAGGGATTTGCTTACCTGAAACCAAACATCTACATCTATCTGCATTTTGTTATATTTTTGCACCAAGATGCCTTTTCTTCTCTTAGAGAATGTAAAATAGCACCTGAAGAAGCTTTGGTGGACACATGGATCTACAATGCCAGAGGATTGTATAAAGAGGCTGGTAGATAACGTACCCAGAAGTCACTGCTGCACGTTTGTCTCATGAGGCCAACACACTCGTAAAAATAAAGCAATCTATACTTTTATTTCCAAAGCGTTGGCCAATCAGAACTGTTGGGCTTTATGACAGAAAACACTTTATGACTGAAAATGCAGCTCTATCATGCAGCCAGATGTTTTTCTCTGAATCCTGTCAGAAAGGAGAAGAAGTGGAACCAAAGGGGAACCGTGACTTCTTAGAACACACTGAGCCATGAACGTGGACGTCGGATATAAAGGGAGCAGTGAGCAGGTTGGAGGACATCAGCCCTGCACATTCAAACAGAAGAACATCTGTCTGTGTCGGGAACCATGAAGACTCTGCTGGCTCTCACGGTCCTGACGCTCATCTGCTTCCTGAAGCACAGCTCTGCCAGTGAGTACCGCTGACCTCTGACCTCTGAGCGCCGTGAGTCTGAGCTGCACTCGTATTAACTCTGTGTGTGTGTCCACAGTGCCAGTCGCTATAGACATGGTGATAAACGGTGTTGAATGCTGCGAGGCCGTCACTAATAAAATCCACATACCAGTGGACAAGGTGAAGCATGTGATGAAGAGCAGCTGCAACCTTGAAGCGATCATGTGAGTATCCTCAGGAGGTCAGGAGTGTTATTATCCCGACTGTTTTTGTTCAGTTTTGTAGCAGCTTAAATTCTCACTGTGACCACCTGACTTTGAAATTCTGTTAAATATTTCTCATCCAGCAAACTGTGAGCTGTGACAAAATAATTAATGTTCTTGCTGTAAAACGGTTTTATGAAATAGGGGTGAACCAATCTATGTCATGTAGATTTCTAATTATAAGTGTTAATACGTTTTCCTGTTGCCACATGTTAAATGCAGCCATTACAACAACAGCATGGTCCGTGAGCTCAGGACTGTAAACTGTAAAACAATAATAATAATGTTGAGGAGAAAATTAGGTGAAGCTAAGTAAATGCAGTGAAATCTGCCTCCAAAAAGATGTTTTTAGCTCTCGGGTCCTGTTCGGATCAGCTTCACTGATCTGTCAGGATCAACTGCCATAAATGAAAACTCAAGTCTTTGCTCTCGTTCGGAGTCACGATTGATCTGAATCAGTTCGACAATAAAGAAGTGCGATTTCTATCAGTGGCTTCTGGTAATGACTAAATGAAATGTTTATTACTTCTAATCAAGTCTTTGCGACGTATATTCCAGTTTCTTCCCGACAGTGAAACTGCACGTGTGTGTTTAAAGTGTGTATCATGTGTTTCTTGCAGAGTCACCACTGTGGCTCGGAGGAAGTTCTGCCTTGATGCTAAATGGAAACATGCACAGATGCATCTGGAAGAATTCAAGAAAAAATCCTCAGCCCGGAAACCCTGAGAGTGATGAAGGAGATCTAAAAACAGCAGAAAGTAGTTCCTCTGTGCTTCTGTGCACAAACTGACGTTTGTTTGATTGTGTTTGATTTAGAGCTGGGCGATAGAACGATAACGATATGTATTGCGAAATAACTTTTTCTCGATAGGAAAATCAAACTGTTGCGATAGACCTCGCCGCTCTTGTCCTCTTAACAAAAAAAAAGAAAAAAAAAGAACAGTCAATCCAAACTAAGTAGCGCAGAGCCGAACCAATCACAGCCGCAGCGTCACGTCACGTGACTTGTGACGTACAGCACAAGTGCCAAGCTGCACGTGTGTTTGTTTGGGAAGCAGCCAGCCGCCGTGTAACGGTGGAAATGAGTGTGC